TCTGTACTCTAGGTCTGTGCTCTAGGTCTGTGCTCTAGGTCTGTGCTCTAGGTCTCTACTCTAGGTCTGTGCTCTAGGTCTGTGCTCTAGGTCTATACTCTAGGTCTATACAGACTCCAGGTCTGTACTCTAGGTCTGTGTCTAGGTCTGTACTCTAGGTCTGTGCTCTAGGTCTATATTCTAGGTCTGTACTCTAGGTCTGTGCTCTAGGTCTGTGCTCTAGGTGTGTGCTCTAGGTCTGTACAGACTCTAGGTCTGTGGGATTTGTGGTGAGCACCCGACACCAAATTGTGAAGTTCTTTTAGGCAGGCGCTATGGGACAAGCATTAGGAAAACCGCCGGTAGTGAAGGAGGTTAAGGCATCAGTACAGACGCGAGCACAGGGTTTAAAAGACGGCAATGGAGCAGTTTCCAGAGGCCACAGGATCGCAAGGCCGTGGTCTGCCGAGGAGGACTTGGAGATGAGGCGCACTGGGAGGAACTTGGCGAAGAGCTTAATTCTTGCTCACAAAAACGTGGACCTGATTCACTGCCCGCGTTAACCTGCTCCTTGTGGTCGCTAGTGAAGGACATTTTGACCCAACAAAGAGACAAGACTTTGCTCAAAGGAGCTCTCCGCTTCCTACATGAGAAAATTGAGGAGGCCAGAAGCAGTGATGGCGCGGATAACCGATCCTGCCATCTGCTGTATCTGTGGCCAGGCTTGCTCCCTCCACCCTCCCTTTGAATTTTTTATAAAAAATAATGAGAATAAAGATAATTCCTTTAATAGAAAGGGGGATGTTTGCCGGAACAACATAATGGGGCTTATTTATCCCGGTAAAAGAGTCGCTCAAACTCTCAGGGAAGCAGCCGAGCAGGTCAAGAGGGAGCCGGAACCTTTTCGGCGTTTTCCCTGTGGAAATATAAACAGAGAATGGGCAGGCCGTGCGCCGCCACCATCCAGCGCCTTTTAAAATTGAAAGATCTAAAATCTGCCTGTGATGCGAATGGTCCACTGCCCCTTACACACGGAGCCTGCCAGACGGTCTGGCTCAAGCTACTCCAGTGCCTGCTGATTGGAAGACAGTAGCCAGGGCCTGCCTCTCTGGAGCGGAGTTTTTACTGCAAAGGTAAGTCCAGGGAGGAGATCCGGGTGGGGGGGACGCTGCATTGCTTTCCGGAGAAGGTGACTACGAAGACATCCAAAAGCAGACAGCTCAGCCTATTGCAGTTTTCCAACAAACGGCCGCTGCGGCAAGGGCGCGAGGAATATTCTACCCTCTAAAGGTGAGTCCTTGTCTAAGACGGCCCAAGCGCCAGGCGAGCCCTGTGCAGGGGAAATCTTCGGGGACCAGATAGGTCTGGGCCTCACTCACCCAGCCAGGCCTTAAAGTCCATCCAGTAGCATTCAGCTTAGAGAGCCCTCCTGCCAGTTCCTAAAAGCAGGGCTTTCAGCTAACTCAGATAGTCCTGCACCTACTCGGACAGGCCCTCACTGAGGACTTACGGGGCCTATCTCTCGAGGGGGTGCACAGTAGTCCATAATGCAGATGGTTAAATGTGAATGACTTGTTAGTCTGTCTCCTTTCCCAGCCTGAGACTCTAGTCTTGTACATTGGCTTGACTTCCTAGCAAAACTAGCTCCTAGGTGTCCAGAGGAAAGCAAAGCATAGCTAGTCCATCAGAGTGTGAACTAGTCAACCCTTATCCTCACCCCTGGGGGAGAACCTGCCCCAGAGAGGATAGGGGCCATGCAGCAAATTCCCACCTCTGCAAACTCCAGGCAGCCCCAGCGTTTCCCTAACAGGTAACAGGTTCCTAGATACAGGGAATCAGCACAGTTCCTACTCCAGGCCCTGGACAGGGAGCCACAGCAGAGCGCCCTCCTTTGGGAAGAAGAAAGCACAGCTTTCATCCATTACAAAGCTGCCTTGACCGGGGCTCTCAAGGAGGGACTGCTGATTCAGTCCTTCAAGCAGGCAGGCCCTACCCCCGCCACCTGCTGCCCCAGAAAGTGCCCGAACCAGGGTCAAACTAAAGGGGTACGAAACCCTGTCCATGCTTTCCCGGACAAGGACAGACAACTCCAGGGCCAGGTCAGCCGTGGCTAAAATATCCGGCCTAGCATCACATCTGGTCATGGAAGCCCTGGTCATCGCCTCTCCTCGGCGACACTGCGGCCACATTCTTTCTGCTCTCTGCACACTACTGAGCCTTAACATCCTTGCTCTGTCTCTAACAGAAGACAAGCCATCCGGCTCCAGGTGCTTCTCAGACACGGCTCCAGCCTACCTAAGACAAGGTGACCCGTCCTCTGGACCACGCAGGACAATGCTTCCTGAGGCCACTCTCAAGCACCATGGGACAGACAGCGAGAGAAATACCCATATCCATCTCTACGCCCATTTGTCGGCTTCCAAAGTAGCTACAGTAGACGGAACTCTGCCCATTTATCCCCATAAAAGAATTATGGGTATTTTTTCTTGAGGGGATATGTTAGGCAGGAAGTCAGAAACTGAGCCTCTGTGCATGTGAGAAGGGCCTGAGGACCAGCACCTACTGGGAAGCCCCAGAAGCCCCGCGTCTCCCACTTTAGAGTCCTGCCCAGACCCTGATGACCTCCCAGGTGCTCCCAGCCCTCCCCCCAGGGACAGCTCCCAGGAGAATGCTCTCCTCAGGACCAAAGGGGCTGCCTGACCTGGTAACCTGGGGCCCTGAAACCTTCTCAGACGCCCTAGGGGAGCCCCCCAACTCTGCCCAGGCCAGCAAATCTGGGGGGGAATTTGCTAATTTTCAGCTGAGGGACCCCATCCTTTGTCCTGGAGGAGAGGGGAGGTGGTGGGGGTGGTAAACAGACTCCCTTAAAAACCCAGGGAGTGCAAGCAGACTCAGCCCTCTGCTCCCTGCTGAGCCCCCGCCTGGCCTGCCCGGGTGTGTTCTCTCCATCAACCACCAACCTCGCTCTCCCCAGTCCCAGTGACAAGGCGCTCTCTCTCTATCCCTTCGGTTCTGACGGATGCCCTGTCCCCAATAAATCCTTATCACCCCGCTCTCGGTCTCACGCCTGAATCCTTTCTTGCGTGAAGACAGGAACCCCATGTCTCCCACGGCCTTCCCTCCAGCGATATTTCCAGGGCCCAGCCAGAGCTCACTTAGCTGCGGGGAAGTCACCTGCAGGTGAGGGTCCACGCTTGTTCCCAGGCAGGGGAGTTGCTCCAGGCTCCCTCCCCCAGCCTGTCCCCTCCCCACGGGGCTCCTGCCTGCCCTGCGCTTCTCAGCCCAATCCCATTCAGCCGCACTGTTATCTAAGGGCCATAGCCCTTAGAGGTTCCATCTGGGGTGTCATGTTACCAGAATATGAGGTGCTGGCGAGGCCAAGGCCACTTTGGCTGGCTGACAAGGTCACAGCAGAAGGTCTGTCTCAGCGAGCGTGAGAACGACTTGGTGGCTTTAGGTTTGCTGGAAACTACACTCTGCATACAAAAGCCGGAGCTTCCTGGTGGTCCTGCTAATGATTGCTGTATTCCCGAGTGTAGGGAAGAACGCTTAGTCTCCTTATCCCCAAAATGTCCACAGCTTTGTAGAAGTTCAAACCAAATGCTAGTATAGGAGAAGGGGTGATGCTTTACCCAAGGTTGAGCTGTTTGTGGGAAAGAATTAAAAGGCAACAGGCTCCCTGGTGTATACGTCCCACCAGAATAAAGATGAATGCTATCAAAGTTTTATACAACAATGGTCAGGATGTCGAAACTGTGGCAGAGAGCTAAGTGAGCCTTAAATCAGTGCAGTAAAGGAATTACAGGGTCACAGACAGAACTGCAAAGAGGGGACCCATTTTTAGCAGGGCCTGCTTTGCACATCCGGGTTCCAGTAGGATTAGATTAGGAAGGTACTATCTAGCTGCTGTAGCCAGTTTCCGCATAGCTGGACAGCACTGCAGACCTTGGCGTGTGTGGGCAGCCTGTTGTCCCGCGCCTGTCTGTGGTTGTAGCCCATGCTCTGAGCATGCCCTTGGAAATCAAAGAAATTGGAACTAGATGCTGACATGGAGTCCAGGGGCAGCATAAAACACAGGCCAATGGCTGTGAGAAGATGGACAGCAGGCGTGTTACTGTGAGAAGCAGGGACCATTGTGTGACTTGTGCTACAATGAAGTAGGTGCCGCAGGGCCAGAGCCGCACCGTCAGCCTTGCTGTGTCTCTTGCTTCTTCCTGCGGGGCGCCGCCCACACCTTCGGGAACCCCTGGACCTGCTAGAGCCGGGCTCCGGCAAAGTGCTAAGCGTTGTACCATGTGCTTATTAATAAATTCCCGGTGTTACTGGGCCTGTGTGGGCTCTTGCCTCAGAGTCAGAGAAGAATTCTGAACACTGGCACAAATAACGAGGCAGCATGGTGAGCTCTGGGCTTTTTATTCAGTGGGAGAAGTGCCTAGGAGAGTGAGGCCGTGCGCCTAAACTAAGAGAGCAGGGAGAGTCTGGGAGTTAGGTTGGGGTCCACACCCAGCAGCAAGCAGGCCAAAAGCCACCATCAACAGCTGATCACCGGCAGTGGAGCAGAGGCAGAGAGCGACTTTGGGGCGCTCTTTGCCTTTTATGCGCTTTGCAAAGGGGCGTGGTTACGTGGTCCGGTGGGCAGATAGGGACTGAGACACACAGAGGGGTGGTGAAGGGCATGGTCTCCAGCTCACAGACCTAATCGGTTCTGTTCTAGGCCAGCCTGCATCACCATGACCCCTCTTGATCCCCCTCCCCTAGCTCCTCCCCCTTGAAGCCCCCTGACTCCCCCTCTGCCTTTCCAGACTGTGTGGAGCTGGGTGTGCTCAGGACTGGGCTGCCCCGAGGGCAGCCGCAGGTGGGAAGACCTGGTCTCAGGACTCCAGGCGCCTGCCTGTCCCTGAGCCAGAGCTGCCCCGGGGGCCTCCACGACTCCTCCCCGAGACACAGGTGCAGGACCGGTGTGGGCTGGGAGCCGGCTGGCCTGAGGGGCCCAGGACAAGGGGTTGGAGACAAGGTAGGTGGGGGGCGGAGGGGCGAGGCCGAGTCTGGGCAGCAGACAGAGCCGCGGGGCCAGGTGAAGCCACCACCCCCCACTCCCAGGCAGGGCCTGAGCGCCATGGAGGGACTCGTCGTGGTCCTGTGGGCGTCCCTGTTGCTGGCTGGGGCGATGGACCATGTGACAGTGAACCGCGCGACGACGCCAGGTAAATGAGGATCTCCCAGGTAAGGGGGACGGCGGCGGGGGTGGCAGGCAGCGGGGCTGGCCCTCACCACCGCACCTCTGCGCACAGCCCAGAACCTGAGCTGCTTCCAGTGTTTCAAGGTATCCGTCCCAGGCCACTGCTTGCCCACGCCCTGCGCCGCTGCTGACCGTGTGTGCGTATCCCATGAGGTGTTCTTCCAGGCGGGTGAGTCCCAGGAGCCTGCTCGGGCTGCCGGGTGTCTGCAACCCTGAGTAGGCGTGGCCTCTGCACTGTGGCCAGGCCTCCTGGAAGCATCCGGGAAACCGTGGTGGGCAGTCACCAAGGCCAGGCACTCCACGGCCACCAGGGGCTAACAGAGATATCGCCTCGCAAACCCTAGCTCCTGGGACCCAGGTGGGTGGCGCTGGCAGAGCTGCCTGCCACCGGCCTATGTCCACGCCCGCTGCAGCAGGCGCCAGTTGCCCCGGGAGGAACCTGAGCAGCGTGGGTGTCCAGGTGTTCCAGGAGCTCGGTGGGAGGGGCAGGCGGGCCATCTGGCGGCTCGGAGGGAGGCCCTGTGTCCTGCAGTGACAGCCTTGCCCCCTCAGCGGAGGGTGTCTTTTTCTTTTAGCCTTGGCTCCAGCCCAGTTCAGGGCCTTCTGTGCAGGGGTGGGGTGGGGCGGGGAGGCAGCTGCACAGGGCAGGGGTCCACTCCATGCACAGCAAGAGAAGGCCCCGTAATCCCACATTGCAGCCTGTTGCACTGGGTGATACAATGTAACAGGCTACCACACAGTATAAAAACACATTACAGCAGCAGGTGGGACAGGCACAGCCTCTGTCCTGGGCAGTCTCGGTGGTCAGGAGCACAGCTGGGCCACAAGCAGAAGGGGACAGTCGGAGAGGCCAAGCCCAGAGCTGGGCGTCCCCTCCACCACTTCCTGCCTCACTGCACCTCCGTGGCCAACGGAGCCCAGGCCATGCCCAGCTGCAGGGCTGCCCCAAGGGTCAGCAGTCCCCGAGCCCGTTTGCCATGCGGGGGATGGACATGACGGTGGGCAGCAGTGCCTTGCCCAGGAAGGGGCAGGAGAAGGTGGCCACGGGCTCCCCTTGCAGCGCCAGGCTCGGCTGCCCGCCTGGACAGTGCCCTCACGCTCTCCCCACCCCTGCAGCCTGGATCCCTCCTCCCTGGGGCCTTGGTCCTCCCTGGGCACTGGTGCCACCTGCTGTCTCCCCTCCGCAGAGTCCAGGGTGAGCGTCACCCTCAGCAAGCGCTGTGCTCCCCGGTGCCCCAGCAGCAGCCGGGTGTTTGTGTGGTCGCTGGGCCCGCAGGTGCAGGGCAGGATCTCCAGGCACTGCTGCTCCAAGAACCTCTGCAACAGGGCTCCCGCCGCAGGGCAGGGGCTCGGGGCCCAGCCGGGGGTGCTCCTGCTCCGTGTGGGCCTCAGCCTCCTGCTCGTGGCCCTGCTGGCCCACCCAGTGCCCCTTCCTCCAGCCACTGTCCTGCCCCACGCCTCTCACCCCTCAGCTTTGCCTGAAGGGTCACAGAAAGAGTCGCACCAGGGTCCCCCTCCAAGCGCACTGGGACCACCGCCCTCCCTCCCCCCATAGACGAACCCCTTGTTGCCCCACCACCCTGCCCCACAGCCCTGGGCCCCCCAGCTCTCAGCACAGGCCTCTGCCACTGGAGCTGCCAGCTATGGACAGAGCCAGCCAGCAGGGCCATAGCCACACTGAACACAGGGGCCGGCCTCCTGGCCCGGGACACACTAGGTGAGCACCGTCAGAGGCTCTGGGCGGGGTCCTGGGAGGGAAGGGGACTGCAGGGCTGGGGCCTCCAGGACGTGTCTGGGGGATTGGGCCACAGCCGGGGGGGGGGGGGGCTGACCATGTGGGGAGGGTGCAGCAGGCACCATGTCCGCGGGAGGCTGACCGTGAGGTCCTGCTGCCCCCACACCTGGCCGCTCGGGACGGCCCAGCTGCCCTACCTGTCCACGGTCTGTGCCCAAGCACCTGCCCCCGTGCACCCCTGCCCCCGCTCTGCAGCTGTCATTGTTCCTTCCTCAGCCAAGCTGGACCCAGCAGCCCCTTGGGAGATCCAGGATGACCCTGGCCTTGGCACCCCTGTTCCCAGGAGACCCCTGGAGAGCCCAAGACCTCCACGCCATCACCACAGCCACCAGCAGCTGAGCCGGACCCCTCCCTTCCACCTAGAGTTGGGAATTTTGTGAATTCAACCCCGTCCTCCCCCGTGTGGTCAGGCAGGGTGGCCACCGTCCACTGCTTCCCTCTCCCCAGGGTGGGGTCCCTGCTGGCCTGGGGCAGCCAGCAAGGCCAGCACCAAGGGCACAGGGGCTGGTGAGGGAAGGAGCAGCTGGGGGTGGGCCGGGTGCCTTCTAGGGGCCCCACCGCCTCTGTGTCAGCCCCTGTGCCCATTGGAGTGGGGACCCCGTTCCTCTCTGAGCAGGGACCAGGATTCCAGGACACCCCCCCCCTGTGCCCACAAAGTCCCCGCTGGAAATCAGAGACGGTGCTGGCCACATGGGCTCCGAGAGACCAGTGAAGCAGAGACGAAGCGAGTGAGGGAGTCGTGGGCAGTGACCGCCTGCCTCTCCGGGGAGCGGTGCCAAAGGGCTGGAGCCTGCCCCCTGCTGCCTGGGACAGTCTCTCTTGGTCACCTGGCCCGCAGACACTGGGGCAAGCAGGGGAGGTGGAGGAGCACAGGGTAACCGGCCAAGTCCAGCTCTTTCAGCTGCCGGGACCCAGAGTTTCCTGTACCCACCTTTCCAGCCGGTCACCGCCCGCTCACGCGCTGGGCAGGGCCGGGAGCGCAGGGCTCCTGCGTCCTGCAGGCGTCTTCTGTGTCCCCTTCCCCTCCCCCACCACTGCGTCCACAGCTTTGCCTCTCTGCATGCCCGGGGTGGACTCGGGGTCCCACCCAGTGGTGCACGTGCAGGGTCCCTCCATGTCGGGTGCATCTGTCTGTGCACCCCCAGGCTGGTTTCCATGGGTTTGCTCCCCAGGGGTCTCTGGGTGGCGGGGTTGGGAGGTGGCAGAGCCTGTCCTGGGGGGTGCCTAGAGCGAGGCGAGGGGGTTCTCTGGGGACCTGTTAGTTCCCACGAGAGATGTTCATGGGGGGACAGCGAGACCAGCCCCTTCCCGCTCCCTGGACTCCTTCCTCACTGCTGTGACTGCTCCCTGTCATGACGGCTCCCGCCATGCGACACGCTGAGCGGGCCCTCCCCAGGCCCTAGGAGACGTGGGGGCCGTGCTCCTGAACCCCCAAAGCTATGAGCCAAATCAGCTGTTTTCTGTATGCCTGGCGCAGCCCCAGCCCCACCCACGGGAGGCCCCGTAACAGGAGGTGGGGTGGAGCGTGAGCCAGCTGCTTTCTGATTCCCGGGCCGCGGGAGCCCCTGCCTGGATGGGTGTCTGGGGCCGTTCTCCCAGTCCCGTGCCATCTCGTTCGCAGCCCAGAAGTGCGGAATAAAGTCCTTCTTCATGGTGACGTTGTCCACATCTCGAAAGCCTCGGCGTCGAACCAGGCCACACAGGAGCCCAGGTCCGCCGGGCCTCCTCCAGGACCGTCGCGGTTTTGCACTTTAATCTGGGCCCCTGGCCCTCTGCAGTCGCTTTCGGCGGATATGGAGGTGTGTTCAGGTTCCCTCCCCTTGCACGCGGATTCCGCTACGCAGCCCTGTTAGCCAAAGCTCAGAGCCAGCCGCTGTGCGTCTGCACCTGGGCGCGCTCTTGCTTCGCTGCTATTCCCTGATCACGGGCCTCGTAGCAGGCCCGGAATTATTCCTCCAGGCAGCCTTGCTCAGCACTGCGGGGTGGGTCAGGCTCCCAGGACCAGCCCAGGCCAGTGACTGCACGCAGGCACTCTTGGGTCCAGCCAGAGCTGTCCTCGGGGCTGTGCATTAGTTTTAAGATTTATTATTTATTTGAAAGGCAGAGTGACAGAGCGACAGAGACCTTCTGTCACTGGTTCACTCCCCAGTTGGCCACAACATCCAGAGCTGCGCTGATGTGAAGCCAGGAGCTTCCTCGGGGTCTCCCACACGGGTGCAGGGGCCCAAGCACTTGTGCCATCTTCCAGTGCCTTCCCAAGCGATAGCAGAGAGCTGAATCAGAAGTGGAGCAGCCAGGACTCGAACCGGTGCCCATGTGGGACGCCAGTGTCATGGCTTTTCCCGCCACACCACAGTGCCAGCCCCAGGGACTGCGGTTTCTTCCTGCAAAAGAATGCAAAGCAAAATGGGCGTCAGGAAGAGGCACACGGGGCGAGGTGCGGAGGGAGCCAGTGCTAGCGGCCACAGCCATCTGCAGTGGGCTCTCAAAGGACACCCCGAGCCCCCCAGCTGCGAGTCCTGGGGGTGTGCGGGTCCCATCCGGCTGCTGCAGGTCGCTGCCACTCTGCCTGGCAGGTGTCAAAACCCCAGACCCTGAGAAGGAAGCAGGCGGCCAGCAGGGACCACGTGGCTCATGCCGAGCCTCGGGCACGGTGAGGCCCCGGTCAGTCGCCGCCCTGGGACTGTGGTCAGCCGACTGTGCACTGACTCACGTCTACACAGCTCACTGCAGTTCTGACTGGGACTGTGTTGGATCTAAAAGCCGAGTTGGGAGGAACAGACATTACAAGAATATGGAAACTTTCAAGCATTTGCTAGATGTATAACTAAGTATTTTTTAGTCTCTCTTTCTCTCTCTCTGGTGCCACTCAGTATTTATCTCAACCTCTGTTCCGGCGTTGCTGACCCCGTGGGCACACAGCCCGGGCGTCCTGCGTCCGCTGCTCCGTCACCCCTGGGCTGGTCCTTGCTTCTTTGGGAATTGGTTCATTTTTCACCTTCACCACCAGGAAACCCAGAGGGGAGGGGTGGGCGCCTCCCGCGCAGGAATGGGCCGGCTTCGCCACGCCCACGCCCACGCTGCTCACTGCTCACTCCCTCCCCATCTGCCCTTTCTTCTGCCCCACCCCCACCCCCACACACCTGTTTGAGTTCCCGACGTGACTCTAACTCCGAGACACATCTGGGGCTCGGCCGCCGGAGTTCACTCTGACCTTGCTCCTGTGGCCCTGCCGGGGAAGCCCTGTGGCCTCCGTGCCAGCATCCTGACTCTGCAGTGGAGCGGGGCTGAGGTTCCCCAGCGCCCTGGAGACGCGGCTCTGGGGAGCGTGGTAGAAGGTGTGAGCGGGGCTGAAGGAAAACCCAGAAGTCAGCTCAGTCAGGCGGGGGAGAGCCCTAGAGGCTGCCCAGCTCCTACAGCCCACCTCCCAGCCGGGCAGGGGGTCCGGGCCCCACCCCAGTGCCAGGGGAGCTGCCGGGCCAGATGCCACCACCCTGATAATGCAGAGGGAGGGGCCTCCACCTGCAAGGTCCCAGAGCGGCCGAGGCAAAGTGGCAGGAAGCGGTCACCGCACCCGCACCAGAACACCCGCGTGAGGGCAGGGGGCACCCAGTCTTGCTGAGCCGGCCCTACCCTGCCACCTCTGTTCTGCCAGCCTGGGGCGGGCACTCTGCACGGGCCAAGCTCCCCCACTCCCTCACCGCGGAACCCCTCCTCCCTGGGACCCGGCCCGCTGGCCACCTGATGCTGTCGGGGGGTCGGCCAGCGTGGGACGAGGACACAGAGCTTCTGAGCCTCTATGGCCGGCTCTCTGGCTTCTCCCTCGCGCCACTCCCCGGCTGAAGGAGTTGGTCTTTAGCAGGGGACGGTGGCATCATAAAGGGACAACGAGGACCTGCAGTGGGGGCGCAGAGGGGACAGTGCTGGCAACCGGGCTGTGGGGACTCCACTGGGGCCCTGCCCCCGACACTGCACCCAGTCTGGGGGAGGCTGTCTCCCCGCCTCGCCCTGCGCTGTCTGCCCACTGTGGCCGCAGGGGCGGGCCTGGCGGGAGCCTCGCTGGTGACCTGGGCTGGTCCCGAGCTCGGGATGGGCCGAGTGCAGCCTTTCGGTGTGTGGCCGACCGAAGAGCTTTCTGACCACGACTCCTATCTAGAAACCGTGCGGCTGTACACACACGGCCTCACTCTCACACATGTCCACGCGCTGTGTACACGTGTGTACACACACAGCAGGCACCCTACTCACACAATATGTGTGTGCACACACAGCAGGCACTCACACCCTCACGTGTGTGTGCACATACAGCAGGCACAGACACCCTCATGTGTGTGTGCACATACAGCAGGCACTCACACCCTCACATGTGTGTGCACATACACACAGCGGACACAGACACCCTCACATGTGTGTGCACACACATACAGCAGGCACAGACACCCTCACATGTGTGTGCACATACAGCAGGCACAGACACCCTCACATGTGTGTGCACACACAGCAGACACAGACACCCTCACATGTGTGTGCACACACATACAGCAGGCACTCACACCCTCACATGTATGTGCACACACATACAGCAGGCACTCACACCCTCACATGTGTGTGCGCATACATACAGCAGGCACTCACACCCTCATGTGTGTGCACGCACATACAGCAGGCGCTCACACCCTCATACACACATTTATGCACCTCTTGATGAGGAAGGGGCCTGGGGGCCGGCACCGCGAGGAGGGGACCTGGGGCCTGGGGGCCGGCACCGCGAAGAGGGGACCTGGGGCCTGGGGGCTGGCACCGCGGCTTTGACAGCTGGCACAGTGTTGTCTTCAGGATGGCGGCTGAGGCTCTCTGGGGAAAGAGAAAGCAAGAATGGGAAGTCAGCGCCCCCTGGTGGGACGTTGTGGGGACACCCCCAGATCCGGGCCAGCTGCTGGGGCACAAGAATCCCATTGGGGCTGTGCAGGGTCCAGGCTGGAGGCGGCAGAAGCCTGGGGCCAGGGCGGCTGTGGCTTCTCAGCACCGGGAGGTGGCAGGTGCGTCCCCACCACTAGACAGCGGCGCTTGTGGTCACGGGGTTGACGACCTGTTCCCCACCCCGGGGGGCCTCCTGGGAGATGGAACAAGGATAGAAGCCTCAGCCATTTTTTCAAGAGTCCAGTTCCGTCTCACACCCTGTGTTGGTCCCCACCCCACCCCTGCATTCTTCCCGGGGTTGGGAAGCCAGAGTGAAACCTGAAGAACCCGTATGGAGACGCTCAGCTCCACCGACTGCCCCCACCCCTGCCCCCACCCCCGCCCCGCCCCGCCCCTCCTGCGGGGCTCCAGGCCTCTCCACCTGTTTGGTTTGCCAGCAGGAGGGCAGCTGGCCGGCCTCCGCGGATTTCTTTTCTCTGAACAAATTCTGTCTCCTCTCTGCTCCGCTCCTGCCTTCGTGACACTGGGGGCGCAGGGAGCAGGGGTGGCACAGGGAACCGCTGCGCCCGTCCGCACACAGGCACCTGTCCCCCAGGTCAGGGACAGCAGTGCGAAGGCGGGGCCGGCAGCCCACTCGGCTAACTGACCGGCGGGGTCAGCCACCACAGCGGCCACCACAGTCCCGGAAGCCGTCTCCGCGGCCCTGCAGCTCCCGGTAGCGCAGGAACGCTGGGGGCCACCGCGCGCTCCCGCGGAAGGGCTGGACTCTGGGCCGGGGACAGGGACAGGGCTCGGCGGCCTGAGTGCCCTCACCGGCTCCAACCCTGCGCCCCTCGGCGCTCCCACGGCCAGCATGCAGGGCCCCGGCTCGGGGTGGCTCTCAGGCTGGGGGCGGGCGCCATGCCTCGTGTCCAAGCCCAGTCCCACGCACCTCCACGGGAGTACCGGAATGCGGGGCGAACCTTACATGGATGGGCACCTGCGTGGCGGGCGAGCGGGGCCGCGCGCTCCCCACAGGCTGCGGTGGCCGCCGGGCCACCAGCGATGGCCGCTCCGGTCCTGCCCTGTCTAGGTGTCCGCCCGCGCTGGGCAGCTGACAGCGTTCATGTCTGGATGCCGTGAATGAACGCAGGGAAACCAGGCTGAGAAGGGGTTTGAAGCCCTGGGTTGAAACTGAGCGGACGGAAGAGGAAATGTGCTCGGCCTTCGGAAAATGTGGAAAACCTGGAGCTGACCAGCCGGGCGGGGCCGGGAGGGAGGGGAGTGGGGCTGCGGGCAGGGCTGGGAGGGAGGGGCACGGGGGTCCCCACACTCTCACCTGCACGAGCTGCAGCCAGGGTGGGGCCCATGGGGCCCACCCCCACCCTTGGGGGGCCTGACCCGATCTGTCTGCACCCCGGGGCCGGGCCGGTAACAAGGCCCACACCAGAAGCTGTGACCGTCTTTGGGATCCTTGTAGGAAGGCAGAGACCCCACACCCGTCCTCCATGGCCAAGGCAGACACAGGAGTTCAGACAATGGGGCTGTACCCCAGCACAGAGCCCGAGCCTGGGGCATCCCAGGCAGGCTCTCCCCGGTGCTCCCCCTGGCTGTACCGACGCCGCCCACCATCAGCTGCTGCAGCTGCCGTCTCTGAGGCCCTGACGACACCCAAGTAGCGAGTCCTGAGCCATGGGTGGGTCCACGGTTCAGCCCTAGCGCCAGCACCTGCGGTGGACTTAGTCCTGCCCGCCGGCTAGCAACACTGTCGCCAGCCTGGGCCTGCCCCTCCACCAGGCTCCCCCGAGCCACATCGGGCTGGGGACGTCGTCCACACCAACACAGTGCAGAGAACAGACAGGTGTGGTCTGGGGAGCCCTGCAGCCCTGGGGATCCACGAGGCAG